AAAAATAATTCAGCAGCTGTTTTTTTTTCAATCCAGCTCTCTTTACACATGTACTGATGAATACAACATTTCACTTTAATGTACTGTGTGTGTGTGTGTATATGTATGTATATATGTATGTATGTGTGTGTATGTGTGTATATATATATATATATATATATATATATATATATATATATATATATATATATATATATATAAATATATGTTTTTGTGGGTTATGACAATAGTTTCCTATGATTAACATCCAATGGGTGCCTCACAAAGTATTAGTAGGTGCTGCAGAAGCCAGCCAGCACTACTCTCACTGTTCTGGATCGTCTGCTGAGTAAACCACACACATTACATCACTGTATCATAAACTGTATGGATATTTAAGTTACAGACTTTATGCTGCTAAACAACACGTCTAAAATTGGTGCCTTTTTTAGCCTCTACGGGGTCTGTACAATAGTTGATGTAGACTGCAACCTCCTCTCAAAATAACTGGACAAATGGATCTTGGCTCAGTACACTAACAATAATAATGAAAATTGTATAAATCAAGAAGAGGGAACCAAATTGAAATTCGTTGCCAGCTGAAAGCCTTTGAATGCCTTTTAAACAGCTTTTCAAGATTAAAGAGGAGAACATGTTGAAAGCAACAGTCAGTCTTTCAAGTGAGAAAGCCACGGTCAGAGAAAATTTGATGGAAAATATTCAACACAGGCGCCATCCGCTGATGGGCAGTGGTAACTGCAACAACATCTTAAAGGATCAGATCATCCAAATGAAAAGAAAGAAAGAAAATACTACTGTACTCCTCCTTGTAGAAAGTTGCTGCTGTGGAGTTTTTCAAATTTCTAACGATGAGGCGACTATAAACAAATTTTGGTATGTTTTACTAGCAAAAAGTGTTGCTTTTTGTTTGCTTTTCTATGTTAGAATGACTTAAACACCCATCATACAAAATATGAACCTAAAAGGAGCGTTTAGATTATAGAGAGCTATTATAAATGCAAGAACCCTCAACGAAATTACAATTAAAGTCTCACAAGATAACACGTCTGCTTTCGGAATATGCTATTTACTAACACCCTCCGCTCTCACAGGAGAGAAAACAGCCTGTCCTCATCCATAAACGTCTTTATAAATCTTGTGTAAAAACAATTGGCTGCCAACCGCAGAGATAGAATACAAATAAGCTCTGCTGAAGGTCAAAACTGTTTCATTTCATAAATCCACAATGCTAAGCACACAATAGTATAAAAGACAGCACTGCACCCCTCAGATGGATCACTGAACTGAAAATTTAAAACATCCAAATGGCTTTTGTTTTGATGGTGTGTTCCACTGTTGTGGTTTTATTTGACGTGTTAAACTAATTCAGCAGTGTTAAGACATACTGATTCACAAAGACAAAAATTCAGATATGAAATTTTGTTTTCCTCTCAACTGAGACCATTGGTACATTTTCAGTCCTAATTGCCTATTCCATGGTTTTGCTTTTGCGGTCCCCAAAAAACCTTCCATCTCTTGATTAAATGACTACAGGCCTGTCATTATGACATCTGTAGTCATGAAGTCCTTTGAAGTCCCCACTGCTCTTCTCCCTCTAATACCAACAACTACACCTCAGGAGACACATCTGTCAAACTCCTGAAGTTTACTGACGACAAAATGGTCATCGGCCTCATCTGGGACGGGGATGAGTCGGCCTACAGACATGAGGTTGATCAGCTGGCTCTCTGGTGCGGTCAGAACAACCTGGAGCTTAACACACTCAAAACTGTGGAGATGATCGTGGACTTCAGGAGGAAGTCCCCCGACTCTGCCCCCCATCACCATTCTAAACAGCACTATGTCTGCTGTAGAATCCTTCAGGTTTCTGGGATCCACTATATCCCAGGACCTAAAGTGGGAGCCCAACACTGACACTGTTATCAAGAAGGCCCAGTAGAGGATGTACTTCCTGCGCCAGCTCAGGAAGCTCAACCTGCCTAAGGAGCTGCTGATCCACTTCTACACAGCCATCATCCAGTCTGTCCTCTGCACGTCCATCACTGTCTGGTTTGGATCTGCCAACAAAAGGGAAAGGAGCAGACTACAACGGACAGTCAGGACTGCAGAAAAGATCATCGGTGCCAACCCTCCATTCAAGCTGATACATTTCCAGAGTCAGGAACAGGCAGGAAACATCACTGCAGATCCATCTCACCCCGGACACAACCTGTTCCAGCATCTCCCCTCTGGTTGGCGCTACAGTTCACTGTACGCCAAAACCAACAGACTCAGAAACAGTTTCTTCCCACAAGCCATCACTCTGACTCAGTGTCAGGAACAATTCTTGTGCAATAACCCAATAACGCTGTCTCTAATCAGCCACCTGTTTACTGGTTACCACTGATTATTTTAATCATCATTCTCTCATTCTATATTTCAGAGCTGATCATACCGTTCATGTTGTCATCTTGTATATACTGCATACCAAATCCACCTACCAAGTTCACAACACCTGCACATAATACTAATAATAATACAGCATCCTTTGCACTCCCTGCTCCATCGCACTGTGTACATGTGTACATGTATGCATGTATGTGTATGTGTACCTGTATATCTCATCCATCTCTGACAAAATAATACTACTAATAATAATAATACTACTAATAATAATTTACTCCTGTATCCTTTGCACTCTGCTATTTGCA